AGTTTCGAACTGCTGACCGTTCTGAGATTAGCAGCCCAATTTGTAACCACTACGTTACCAGAACAGTTGTTGTAAAGTGTCGTGGAGTCAATTCCGACACATAGCGACCCTATAAGGGTTTCTGAGAAGCAGCTGGTGAGCTTGAACTGGCAACCTTGCAGTTCAAATCGCTTTGCAAGTCTGAGGCATTAACCCACAGTCCCACACCCGGACTCCGACCTGGGATCCTCAGGCTAGAGACGACTGGACTGCATAGAGCTTGCAGATCCCATTCCTCAATAGGGAGGCGTTGGCTTCTGGTAGGGTGCCCCTTGTTAAGGTGGGTAGCTTTATATAGGTTACAGAGCAGAAACACGAGGCTCAGAAAGAAGCAGCGACTTTCCCAACGCCTCCCTATTGAGGAATGGGATCTGCAAACTCTATGCAGTCGTCTCTAGCGTGAGGGTACCAGCAGTTGAGAAAGCCAAAGGCTCCAGTAAACCTCCCCGCAGCTTGTTCTGCGACCTCCGGACAGCAGAGGGCGCCCATTGTTTCAGATAAAGCGGAAACGCATGCGCACGTACGGCCAAGGGGGTGGGGTAGGCGGGGCGATCTTATTAACTGCGCTGGCGCGGGCGTAAGCGTTCCTTTCAGAAGAACCGACGAGATGGTGAGTTCCGCTGGGCCCCGTGTCTGTATCCGAGCCATCCAGCTCCATCCGAGCCCTGGACGTGCAGTGGGGGGGGTCGGACTTCAGTCCCGCGGCTGCGGTGGCCTCCTCCAGGCCTTCGGAGAGTCGGATATGAGCGCGCGGGGCGGTGTACGTGCGTGTGAGGACGGCCTAAGGCCGGAAAAGCCCGCCTGGGCCAGCGTGTCCCGGTCGAACGTCGGTAGTCGCGTCTGCGATCCTGGTGCGGACTCACCGCACTGTGTGCCCATGGGATTCCGTACCCACGGACTCCGCGTTTCTAGAGCGGGACTTGGCGAGGGAAGCCCCGTCTCGCACCCGGCGTGGCGTCCGTGGCCGCGGTTGGTGAGTCTCGGTATCTCGTTCACTCTGGTGCCGACTCTCTGCAGGCGGAAGTGGAGCAAAAGAAGAAGCGGACCTTCCGCAAGTTCACCTACCGTGGTGTGGACCTCGACCAGCTGCTGGACATGTCCTAGTAAGTGGGGACCTGGGGCGCGCTTAGGTCGGCCGGGTGACACGGTTTCTGTAAATGACCTTATTGCGGGCCGGGGCGCAGAGTTAGGCCATATGTAAATGAATGGACCTGTCTGTGTGTTGATGAGGCTTTGTTTACAGACACAGGGGTTGAGTTTAATGGTATCTTTGTGTGATTTTTTGTGCAATTTTTGGATCACTTTCAAACAAAGGTGTAAAACCGTAAACCAGCAGGAGCCCTGGATTTGGCACGGAGACGGTGGGGTAGGAATGGTTGTGGGTTGTGAGCATTTCCGCTCTCACAGGAGATTGACATCAGGGGTCCCTGTCACTTGCAAGGGTATCTGCTTCCTGGAGGGGACAAAATAGACGCCGGCCGGCTGTGGATCCTGCATCAGAGCCCTTGGGACCCAGCTGCATTATGGCTGAGTGGCTGTCGTGTCCGGTCCGAATACTTGGCACAGGGGCTGCCCCACCTGTGTGGCTTTTGATGTGTGTGTGTGTGTGTGTGTGTGTGTGTGTGTCTCGGGTGGGTGCCTGGGCTCAGCTCCTGTGTGCGCCCCTCCCCAGTGAGCAGCTGATGCAGTTGTACAGTGCGCGGCAACGGCGGCGGCTGAACCGCGGCCTGCGCCGCAAGCAGCACTCGCTCCTGAAGCGGCTTCGAAAGGCCAAGAAGGAGGCACCGCCCATGGAGAAGCCTGAGGTGGTGAAGACACATCTGCGGGACATGATCATTCTGCCCGAGATGGTAGGCAGCATGGTGGGCGTGTACAATGGCAAGACCTTCAACCAGGTGGAGATCAAGGTGAGCATTGGGCCCAGGGCGGGCTGAGGTGGGCTGTCCCTCCCTTCCCCGAAGTCCTCTGACCGTTCCACCCTCCACAGCCTGAGATGATTGGTCACTACCTGGGCGAGTTCTCCATCACCTACAAGCCTGTCAAGCACGGCCGGCCTGGCATTGGAGCCACTCACTCCTCCCGCTTCATCCCGCTTAAGTAGACCAGTAAAGGATCCAACTCCTGCTGTTGGTGTCTAGTCTGTTCTTCCAGCATCTGTGTCATTGACGGGGTCTTGGGTGGTGACTGATGGCCTGCAGGGATGGGGGTGGTGAGCCATTCACGGGGTCTTGGTGGTGTCTGGTGCCCGCAGGGATGGGGAGTGGGGACCCATTGACGGGGTCTGGGGTGGTGGCTGATGCCCGCAGGGATGGGGGTTGGTGAGTAGGCTGGCAGCTCCCAGGGGCTGTTGGACAAAATGCCCTTGATCCTTTCTGTGCTGTCTGCTCCTGAGAATCCCTCCTCCCACCCCCTACTCAAACTCCTCTTCCTCTTGAGACACGTTTCTTTCCTCTGAAAGGTGAAGGAACCTGTGGGATCAGGAGATCCTTGATGCACAGGGGGTGAGGGTGTGTTCATGATGAGGGGATGGAGGACCACTTCCAGGTTCTGACCAACAGGGTGGCCGTGGGGTGGGAAGGAACCTGCGACAAGATCAAGGATGAGACCAAATGAATCACTGCACATCCCAAACAGCTGCTTCTCTTGGAACTGATCCCAAAGTGCAGGGTATGACTAAGTTTACAGGTTTCTTCTGGTTTGGAGTTAGAATCCTGAAAATGTGGCTGAAGCACAAGTCCTTGTGTCTGAGGAGAGTGGTTGGGGAGGGAAGAGTCGCAGACCACTCATTAAAACTTTAGGTGTGTCCATTCAGTAAAAAGCTAATGACATCCCAGATGTAAAGTGTGGTCCACTATCCACAGTGAAGGAAGCCGGTTGTGGGTCTCAAGTCTATTCTGACTCAATAACCCATGTAACAGTCGAACTATCTACCCTGTGGGACCCTGACCCTTTTGTTAACAGCACTTTCCCTGGGAACACTAATGCGCCGGACTGCAAGGTTGCCGTTTCAAGCTCGCTAGGCCCTCCTTGGAAACACTATACAGGGTCGCTATGAGTCGGAACCAACTCTTAGGCACTTACCAAGTCAGTTTCAGGACTAGTGAGGTCAGAGGGTTAGGGTTTATTGTGAAGGACAAGAACATTGACAGCAGCCTCTAGTCCTTCCGGGTGACCAGCTACAGTGTGATCCTTTAGAAGATGAGGGCTGGCGGTGGTGGCTGGTGGGCGAGGGGTCTGGAGGTATGGGTGCTTGATGATGTCTGATACTTGTCAGGAAGCTCTGCAGCAGCCTTTAGACCTGCCAACTGGAGTGTTTATGAGCTATAGGAAGACTGGATTGGCTTCAAAATGTTCTAGCAGAAGATACGGGCAGGTGTGTGCATGAAGACAGAAGGAATCACTGAGGTCTGAGAAGTTGGTCTTTACACAGATTGGGGAAAGGATACACATAGTGGCCCAAAGGTTGACGATAACTCCACTGTGCAGATTGGAGTTGCCATGTAGGGTACTAGAGCCACCAGGCCTGACTTTCGAGATACTTCTTGTTGGATTCAAACCATTGATTTAATGGTTAGCAGTTACAATGCTTAACTGTTTGTGCTGCCTAGGTACCTGTGTATCAGAAGCCGTACAAGTGGGCAGAATCATTGAGGTCCCTTAGAGGAGTGAGGTGTAGTGTAAGGGACAGTGTTCCCCATGGTGGAAGTGGACCTGAATGTGGGACTTTGCTGACTATAGCTAACAGCCTGTTTATTGGTACAGCAAACCTAGTCTTGTTTGTGGGGGCTTTAGAGGTACAAAGGCAGAGTTGGCTCATCCCCAAAGTGTGGTGTACATGGTTTTTACTGCATGGAGCAGCTGGGAACAGCAGTGAAGGTCACCTCCTAAACTCAGCCTGGCCCCTTCATTCCGCTCAGTGTGGGGTAAGACAGTTTAACCTTTTTCCCCTGCGGTTAGAGTCTTAAAGCAAGAATTAGTCACATGACAGAATATTGTGTATTTTGATGTTTTTTTAAAAAATGCACTGGCAATGGTTGTTCCTAGGGCCAGTGGCAGGAACTCTGGTGGTTCTGGGGGTTAGATTTGGGGCAACCAAGGGGGGCTTGGAGTCCTGGTGTGGCTCTGTGGGTCAATGTGCTGGACTGCACCAGTGCTCCCAGGGGAGGGGGAGGGACAGCCTACTCGTCCATGTGGCAGCATTCCTCCTCGGGTCTGCGCCTGTACTCCAGCTCTCCTGAGCCCAGCTCTCCACTCACATACATAACCTGTCACCATCCAGGTCAAAGGAGTGCTAAATTCTAATAACTCCATCCAGTCGCCCTGCCCTGGTCCCCGGCACAGTTACTCCTGTCCCC